GTGTCCCACAAAGACTCCCAGCACAAGCAGGGACTGACTGCATCAAAGGCCTTTGTGGGAAAATATGGACAATGCTACAAACTAACCTTGTGGTAACCTACCCCACAACACAGGACGAGAATTCTGAATGCCAAAATATAGGGAGATGTGTGAAAGGGAAAACTCATACAAAAGTAGGCAGACTGAATAAAACTATTTATCTTTAAGCCACACAAGTCATGGTAATTAAATTAGGTCAGGCTGGCTATAAAGCTACAAAAAAGCAGGCTGTAACTAATTTAAAAAGAGGCAGAGAAGACCTGAAAAGAAAACAGATTGACAGCCCCCTATTATTTTTTATCTAATCAAGACAACAAATCTTAAGAAAGAGGAAAAGAAAAAAAAAAAGGAAAAAGAAAAAAAACCCTCATGTTGATTTATCAAGATTTTCTCTCAAACCATTGGGACAGACAAAAGCACGTAGTCACAGCTTTGATGTGGGAAGGGTTTCATATTGTTATTAGTGCTAACCAAGGGTTACGTGCATACAGATTCTACCCTGAGAAAAACAGAATAATTGAATACCTTAAAGTTCACAAACCGGTGGAATAACACGATCAGGTCTTGATCATTACACTATCATTTCACCAAATCTTTCAGAGCACCTGCGTCATCTGCTTTGTGAAGAGAAATCCTGAACATCTGTGAAAAGAGGACAATTAAACTTTTATTTAAAACCATTTCTTCATAAATCCCACCTGCCAGTATGTGTTTGTTAAACAGCCCTTTCTGAAACTGCTTTCAAATACTTGCTTTGAATGTGAATGTGTCAGGTTGTATTGGAACATCCCACACCCTTGTCTTGGAACTTAAGATTAGGACTTTATTTATAGGTGTGGATCCAAGCTCATTAAACAGGGTTTAATATAATATTCCAGTTGATTTCTAGAATAGTTTTCATTCTCCAAGTGATTAGAAGAATTAGCATTCTAAGGCTGTCTGAAGGGTGAAGAGAGGAGTGTGTGAACAAAAAGGGGGAAGGGCACAGACAAAAAGCTGGGTTTGTGTTGGTGTTTAATAGCAAACAACCCTTTCCCACCCTGCTTCTCTTTGATGCCTGTTCTAGTTTTAAGTCACTTGTAAAGGTTTTGCAGCAGCAGATGACGCTCAGCCACTACATTCATCTGAAAGAAGATCCGAACTTTGCCCCGCGAAGGAAATATTGGAGGTTTCAACACAATTAAGGGGTTGCAAATTCTCTGTGAAAATGGAAATTCCCTCCCATTTCTACCAATAGGTCCCTGAGGGTGAAGTTTTGACCCCGGTGAAATCAATGGAACCTTCACTCCCTTTCATTAGGACAAGAGCCATCCCTCATCACATCTTGCACTTGGGACAATGAAATGTGGTTAGGAAAGGAGAAACTGTTTCCTTGAGGAATTGCCATTAGGTAACACCTTCTCCAGACAATGAGGGAGAGACTTGGAGAGATGATCAGAAAACATGCACAAAAATGCAGAGAGTCAGAAAGGGAGAGCAGGCAGGGGAACAGCAACATTCAGCTTTTCCCTTCTGTAGGAAAATGTAGTATGGAGAACATCCAGCAGAGCTGGGTTGTCCTTTTGCCAGAGGTGAACTGGCACCAGGAAGCAGATTTGTTTCTGTCTGAGAGAAGACAGAGTCCTCACCCTCACACTTGACAAGGAGTTTTGAGTGTTCTTCAAGTTGAAGCCAGAATTTAACAAAAAGTTGCAAAACTAATGAGCAGAACCTCACAGCATAGACCCAGAATGTGGCCCAAACACAAGCTCCCTCACTTGAGATCTTACCTCAGTAATCTTCCTGTGTGCTTAGAGGTGATCAGAGCTGGGCTGGATTCACTCAGAGATGGGCTGAAGTACTGTTGCCAGGTACAGAGTCTTGGCAAAAATCACTACCTGGAGCATAATATAGAACCAGACTTTTAAAGACAAACCACACAAGCAAGTCTGAACTCCCAGGACTTCAGTATAGCAATTTACTGCTCTATGCTGATGCCCAAAAAGCAGATAAAAAAACCTGTTTAGACAGAGTTTTATGTCTAAAGCAGCAAGGTATTTATTTATTTATTTAACAGCCAGGCAGCCTGCTAGCTAGTGCTGGGAAAACAGGCTCCGAGCTGGTTAGGTTAGAATGAGTATTTTATACAGGTTTGGCAATGATTACATCATAATCACATATATATTCATATTATTGCATCATTAGATTACAATATTCATAACAGGTGGAGTTAGGGGCGGAGAGTGAGGCGTGGTCTCTATTTTGAGGAATATTATGGTGGTAGATCCTGCCTTACTTCTTCATGGGGTCTCAAATTCTCTCCTCTTCATCGCGTGACCCTGGTGACCTTTCGTTCTTTCCTTTGTTTCGTGTTCTGATCATTCGGGCTTAAAGAAACCCTTGGCTTTGGGCCTATTCTACCTATTCAAATGTCTACCTTGGCCTATTTGGCTATAATTTATTACCTCTGGGCTCTTTGTACTATGTATCTGTAAATATTTTAGGTCTGCAGAATTTGTACAGAACAAGATCTCCTTTGAGCAAGGTAGAGAAATGGGGGCGGGGGGGGAGAACAGTGGGCCCCTGCAGCAAGATGCTTCGATTAACCCTTCTAAAGCCTTGTCCTCTTTCAATGCACTGTTCACATGTAGCCAGTATGAACCAAGGGATTGAACTAAACTTGCTGAGTTCTGACAGATTTGCTTTGACTTCATTTTTATAGACCTGCCAGCCTTCTACAGGTACTGGATCTACAGGATTCACAACCATAACATCTTATGTTTTATTGTGTTTCTTTAAAAAGACCTCTCCTATTTAATTAAAAGCTGTAGTTTCTGGGTTTTTTTCCTATTTTATGCTTAAGATAAATTGGAGGTGGCACAGAGCAGTGAAAGAGCAACAGCCTTTAGAAGCACTCTCCAAAATTAAGAGTTTGTGAAATACTTTCCAAACATCTGCAAGAACAGTGCTCCATCAACCTTCCAGCCTCCTGGCTGAAAGGAGTGTCCTTTAATCTAAACCATGTGCCTGGGGATTTCTTAATGGACTTAATTCTTCATTTTCTTTTTATATTTTGCCAGTGAGAAACTGCCCAGTGGTCATTACCTCCAAGTCCTTTCCACTAACTGTTCTTCTTAGTCCTGGCACGAGGCTGTACGTTTGCATTGCACAGGGATCTCCTCAAACAAAGGAAAATTATGAAGCTGTCAGATCAGATTTTATATATTACTCTTGGCATTGCACTCACTAGACCTGGTACACAGTGAATTTTGAAAAGCCTCTGATCTTTTATAACCATTTCCAGTCTTATACATACATTTAAAAGTTCTTCCTCTGCAGTCACTGGGAATATGACTATTAAAGCTGAGGTAATTTGGATATTTTCTTTCTGTAAAGATATATAGAGTGATCCATTACACTCATAAATCATTTCCAATCTTTCATTATTCTTTCTGCTATGCTTCTTATTGTTTTTTAATACTGAATTTATTTCTTTCACTTTTTTTTTCCCCTGCTAGGGATATATATATATATATATATATATATATATATATAATGCTTTAGAACTTCAAATCAGGGTGCTTAGATGTGCCTGTGGAATGACCATAAAATGATACCATAAAATAGAGACATCAAGGACACAACATCTCTGTGTCAATCTGAAAGCCTAAAGCCCCTCAGTTATTAACCATCCTGGGGGCTGGAGGGGGAGTGTGATCTCTCTGTACTGTTGTGTTCCTCCTCGCTTCAGGGACATCAACCAAACTGAAGATACCCCGACCTTTTGAGGCTTAACTAGAAGAGAAGATGTGCTGAACTTACCAGAGAACACAAGCAGACAGCAATTCCATGTCATTTGTGGGACTGTAACCCAGCAGTTGCTTCAGAGATCAATCACACACGACTCGTTCAGGAAAGAAGTTTTCTGGCACAGCTGGTGGAGATGGCAGGTTCTCCCCATGGCTTTTCAGGCTGCACACAGAACAAAAGCATGTTATCTTTAATGCCTGTCTTGTAAACTACTTGCATCCACTTCTGGATCCCCTCCTGCCTTTCCTTCACTCAGATGAACACTTTCAAGGGGGAGCTCCTCTGTAAATCTCTCAAAACCTTCTGATTGCACTTTCCTTATCTGTACAAATCATGGAGGAGTCAGAGTAAAATACCCGTGTAACTTTGTTACAAATACCATACTTTTGGATTGTGGCTGCCACCCATTTCTTAGTAGCTTTTTCATCCTGGCTAGGAGATTAGGAACTTTCTCTGAAGGATTATTTTTATGCTTTCTGTTTTTCAATTCCTTTCCATTTCTCTTGGCCATCTACCTGGCTGTGTAGCCTATTCCTCAGGTTCCCTCAGTTTTTCTTAGCTGGAGTGCAAGGCTTTCCTTTCTACGTACCAAGTGCTGGTCTCTTACCCCAGTGTTCCTTTTGACTGATCCCGTTACCAGTTCCATTGCCTGATATTTTGCAGCACCATTAAACTTCACTGAAAGTAAGTCAGTGTTAAGCCTTGAAAGCTAAAGAGCTTCTTCAGCCCAGCAATATACCAAGAGTATGGCTGGGTTGAGTTGGGACATTGTGTCTTGGAGATAAATAATTTCCAAGTCACCAGGGCATAAATCCTCATGGGTTCTCTTGAGAAGAGACTCCAACAGTCTCTTTCTTATTTAGAGAAATTCTGAATTTAGCTCAGCTCTTTTTTCTGCACTGGAAATACGTGTAATTTCTCTGAGAAAAGGACATTAAAACATTTTTCCTTAATGAGGTTTGTGGATAATATTGCCTACACTGGTCTTAACAACAAGCATAAAGAGGACATTAAAAGAAAGATAAAACTAGCTAATGAATTGCAGAGTTTCTCTGGGCAAAGAAGAAAAAACAAAAATCTGACTGATATGGCCATCCAACATTCTCTCAAAAGAAACAGTTCTTCAGCCAGACCATTCCCTTCCCTCACAACAAAGCCAAACAAAGAGAACTCATGCATTAACTTTTTTGATTCTCAAAGAAGAAAGCCTAAATTTAACTAAGAAATGTTTTAGATCTAGGAAATGTGATACATTCTGCTTTTGGAAGTGAAAAAATCAGAGCACCAAAGAAAGGGCAGTGCACAGAAATTTGTCAAGTTTATCAGTGAGGGTAATGTGGAGGAAAGTAGTGATTAATTAAAGAAAAGGAAGTGTTTTAGGGGAGGACTCAGGTGTTTAACAAAAACCCTGAGCTTTGCTCTAAGTGGTGTGGGCAGAAAATCTGTGAGGTTTGCTCAGAGTGGTTCACCTTGTGACCAAGCCCACTATTAGGGAAGCTGCTCCAAGTTCAGGATGGAGATTATTACACCACTTAACCTTATCCTCAGGTCAGGCCCTCCCAGATCCATTAACTGTCATTTGCTTTCCTCCTGCTCTCAAAGGCCTTTGGGATGATCTGAAAATAAAAGGGTCTGTTTTGCTTCAAATCCTTCAGCGTGGCTGGAGCTTTGATCTCACAACTTTCAGCAAAGCAGGGCAGGCCAAGAGCAGGGCAGCATCACTCTGGGGTGGCAGAAGCAACCCCAGGATGTGAGACACTACTTCCTATTTTCAGGACTTCTGTTGTGTTATTAGATGGTAAAGGCAGTAATTCCAACTCCCAGAGATAACTAAGATGCCCACAAAATAATAAGTGAACTGAATTCTATCTTGTTTTTTTAAAAAATTCTTGAAAGTTTAGGAAAAAAGGAGGTAAATAGGTACTCACCCAAAGGAAAAAATAAACAAGGCAGGGGAGGACACACGGCCAGCACATGTTGCATGTGAGTTGTTCAGGTTCCAATCTCCTGATGGTGTTTTTCTTACTCTACTCTGGGATCCTCACATGGAATTTTCTTAAATGACTAGTGAAAGGAAAAAAAGTTTTTGTATAAGTAAAACACTGTTTTGCTTTGCTATGATGGTTTAAGACATATTATTACTAGAGGTCTTAAATATGGTTCTTAAGCCATAACTCTTGGGCATCTCATTCCTTCTGCCTCTTCCTCTGAGTGGGAATGTTGCAGCAGAGCACAGTTCAGCACTACATGCCCCATTAAAGGAGCTTATATAGCAGCCTATAGGCCTAGAGGTCCCGGGGGAACCTTTGGCAGACACAAAAATACTTTGGAAAACTGGGGGAATGCTGATGACCTGACAATGATTTATATTACAGTATTGGAAAACATACATACCTGTATGGTATGGCAGAACCTGCGAGGATGGACAAAACAAAGATTTGCAGTAACTGGGCTGTGCAGCTTTCCAAACCAATAACCTGCTGGTTAGCCCAGGCCTCTGTTTCCTCCAAACCCTCATAAAAATTTATTGCAGATGGGCACCAAGACCCTACAGGAAAAGCCTTCCCTGTCCTAACAGCATCTCTGCCTCTGTCTCACAGTAACTCTTTTCCCCCACCTCCCCCAGCAGAAGAGGTTTTCTCCAGCCCAACATGGTTTAATTCTCTCTTGCAGATGGCAAAGGAAAAAATGTATGGCCCTATGTGGGATAGGCAAAGGCTGAAGTACCAGAAAGCATGAATGAGAGAGACTTAAATCACACTTGAATTGCAGGCACGGCTTCAGCTGCTGTGCAGAGCCCTGACACTGTTCCCAGCACAGGTATTATTTTGCTCTGGGGGCTGCTGGCAACTAACTACCCTGTACATCAGAACGAGACAGTTTTGTGTCATTTGGCTTCTCCTCTGCTGTGTGTTCATCAGTAACTCAGGAGCAGCACAGCTGAAAGCAGAGCTGGGCTGCAGGGTGATTTGGAGCTGACTGAGGGCTGCACTAATGGACGGTGCGCTCTGGGGACCAGCACTTGGCATGTGCCAGTCCTTTTGGAGCACTTGCTGAGCAGAAAGGCTCTGCTTCCAGCTCCAGCTGGACGTGCTGTGCCAATAAATCTCCTCTCACAGCGTGACCCCAGCACAGCACAGACCTGGCACCGGTGGCTCTGCACTTGTACCCCATTAGTGGGTTCACAGGAAGCTGCTGGGAGCTGTGGGCTGCAGTCACCCACCATCCACGGGAAGCCTGAGCAAAAAGTGGTACCGACTGTCCTGTGCTGTTCTTTGCCATGGCTGGGAATAACTCACAGCGCTGCTTATGGCTGAGCGGGACACAAACAGCCCAGGCTCCGGAGGAAAACGAGCCAGGAATTATCTGATGATGCGAAGGCAGGAGTTGAGAGAGCTGCCGTCCCTTTGACCCTGACACAAGTACCTGCCCTACTTTTACACTTACAGATGACCAATCTAAACCTTCTGACCTCCAAAGCCTTACTGAACAGATTCAGGACAGACACCTGAGTAGTTTATTTGCAGAACTATCCTGCCTTGCCAGATGTATGTCATAATCTATCAGCCCAGAGGTAGGAGTTAAAGATTGATGGGATAATTCAGTCTGGGATAACATGGAAAAGAGGGCTTTTTAAATGTGAAAAATGTGATAAGCATGTACAATAATTTTGAGAACTGACTGGCATTCCACAGTGAATAGCACGAGAATAAATTATAGCAAACCAAAATCTTATTAAAAGACACTGAAAAATATAACCCCCCTTATTTAACAGGGTTTTAAGCCACAGGAGAAGCACAAGAGTTAACCAAGTATCTAATTCAGTTGTACATGGCCTGAATCAAGATTGAATGTGTAGAGATGTGCTAGTATGACTTCAATATTATAATTATTTTCCTTCATTAAGAGATTACAGATTCAGGGAGATAATCTCAACTCACAAGAGAATGCTTCTTGCTGTGTTATTAAGGTACAGATCTAAATAAGTTTTACATGGTCTGCGAAGGGCGCTCTGTGCCCTCCTGGTGACAGGAGGGTAAATCACTTCAGACTGGCTGCATATTTTAGTATTTTCCCCCTTCACAGTTGTTAAAACTTTACAGAGCCTCAAAACATATCCAGATGGACAGTAACTGTGACTGCCACTTACGAAACCAGTATAATCTAGCACAATACACAAAGTAGGGTAAGTGTGGAAGGAAAACAAGTTCTGAATAGAGGACCTCCTTGGAATATTGGATCAGCCATCAGACACACCAATTCTGTTTAGACAGGCCTGTTATACACACCCAAATGTTCTGCAAAACAAAGCACACCCCATCCTTTCACCACTGCAGCTCCCAAACACTTCTGCCCAAGGGTGGTCTTCACCCTGCCCGAGGCAATGTTTGTGCCTACGTCTTTATTCCCAAACCGAAGCAGCGGTTTCCATAGTGTTTTGGCAAAGCTGAGACACATAACCCATGTTCATCCTCTCAGAGGAATATTCTGCCCTGGCAGTTCGGTTTGGGTCTGACTCTTTCAAACACGCAGTAGAAACACATGAACAAACAGCTCACTTACCGAGGCCCTGCCATTGCGGCTCCAGTGGATATTCCCCTGCACACCTCCTTCATCCTGCCTGTGCCACACCGGGATTGCCACAAACAACAGCACCACGGCGGAGAACCTGGGCAACACAAAACTGGTGTCATTTGAGGTCACTGTCATTGTTCCCATGTGGGGCAATGTCTGCTAAACACAGCAATAGATGGTAACTTCTTTGCATTTTGATGCTGGGCACAGATTCTGTATTGTTTTGCATACAGTATGCACGTAGCACAACAGGGTGATTAGGTAATAAAGCCATAATATAAAAAAACAAGCTAAAACAAAAACCAAACCCTGGCAGATTCATAGCAACTATATCTGTGGTTTCATTCCTCACTTGGTATGGGTGCTTAATTCCACTGAATTCCAACACCAATTTCTACTTACGCATATGTCGGCAGAGACAGATCCCAGTGCAGCAGGCATTCTCAATTACTTCTTATTTGTCACATTTCACAAATTCCCAACTTGTAAGTTAACAATTACAAAAACTCTAAGGGAAATTGTGAGTTTAATTCACAATATTTCATTCCCTTTCCCAGTTTCCTCCCTTTCCTTCTAATGCATAGTGTTTGAATTATCTTTTCAGACCCTGGTGCAGTCCTCAGTTACACACCTGCTGCTCCTGGTGAGAGCGTGTTTGGAAAATATATTGTGCAAAAGGATATGTACTCTTATCCCTTGGTAGTAGTGGTGTGTTTTAGTAGTGATGTGTTTTAGCTTGCTGGTTTGCAGCAAAGATTGTTTGCCATATGTCTCAACAGACCCTGCTCCTCTTTTCCAAGCAATTGGCTCAGGGAGCTACGATTCTTTAATTTGGTTTTTGGTCTTTTTGCGTCACGATTAGAGATTGGCATGTGAATTATTTAATTAAGCTGTGAATATCGCTGAGTTAAACAAATGCTGTGTCATTCAGCTATTTAGGCCTAACAAACTCAATTAAAAGTAAAAAAAGTTAGTTAAAAGCTAAATAATCTTTAGTCTTTTGACCAGCTGTAATGTATCCATACAACACACCCTCCTGTTGAATAAGGAAGCTGTTGTTAAGGCTTTTAACAAAGGAAAAGAAAAAGAGTTGTGATATTTTTGTTTGGTTTCCCTCATGTCCCAGACAAAGCTCGTGCCTTTGGCATTTCAGCTGAGCCCTGTTCTGTACCGAGGTGACTGAGCCACTCCAACAGTTGGTCACATGTAAATGTGCTGCACAAGACCCACAGCATGAACAAAAGCACTCCGGGGCTTCAGTGAGCGCAGCACAGGAGCAGAATATTAACCACCAATCCTGCCTAGGTTAAAAATGCCTTTTGCTTGGTCATGGCACATAACAGGGTTTCATGCCTCCCTTTTTGGCATATCTGGTGCCACAGACTCCCCAGGAACCTCACTTCATTCAGATGTCTGCCTCTTAATGAGCTGGTCTTTAGAGCAGCAGCTATTTACTCATTCCTTGCTGGGTTACTCCCTCAGCACATGAGTTTCCCATGAAATGGAAAACTCACGGCACCAGGCAACTCCAGCCATGGGCAATGGCAAGAATGCGTGTGCAGCCAATGTGGGATCTCCTCATTTTGCTGCAGAAATTATTTAAAAATTAAATAATACCTTCAAGTGGCTCAAGCACTAATTAGGGACTCGAGGGTACATTAGAAAAAATAATACCAATCAATACTGTTTTAAACATCAGTACGTACAAAAAATGATAAAAGTGATTTAAACATCATGTCTCTTTTTCACACCTTGGATGTATCTACTTCCCACCTATTAATTTTTCAGGGGAGACCACCATGTCCTGGCTAATTGTTAAAATACTTTTCCTTCACCCGTTCCTTCTGCCCAAACACTTGGAGTTGTGGAAATGTTCAAAACTCTCCCTCAGTGAATTATGGCTGTATGAGGAAGAGTGGGAAAGGAGAGAAAGAAGAGACTTCGTGACTTGGAGCTCCTCCCTGTAATTTATGTCTCTTAATTTTTCAAGTCTTGATTTAAGTTTGACTGTTTCCCTATCCAGCAATGCCCCATTGAAGGTCAGGTACCTCCTCAATTTACCCTATTGCCAAAATAACCAACAGTTGGCTTTGCTAGATAGCCATCAACAATTAGAAAATCAATTTTAAAATATTTTGGCTTTCCTTGATGTTTTTTGAACTAAATTTGCTTTTCGAAGCAAAAAGTAACAGAGTTGAACAACAGCTGGAAGTACTGAGCTGGCCAGGTATGGTCTGTGTAATGAGCAGAGCCTACTATTTGTAGCACTCTTAACAGGTAAGCAGAAAAGCTTTGCCTGCCACAGAGTATAAGCACAGAGCACTGAGAATAACAGATTGGGATAGGCAAGTCCTGTTCCCTAACGAGATTCCAAATTAGTACAATGTGGATCCAAAGTCATAATTGATGCCAGTTTACCAGATGAAGGAGAAGGGTTTAGGATTAATGAAAAGACGGGTTACTTTTGTCTCCACCATCAGACTACAATAAAAAAAATTCGAAGGACAGGGAGGGGAGAGGGATTTTCCTGAACCACAGCTACTCCAAAACCATCCTGTCCTTTGTCTTCCCAGCCTTTTTGTTTCCTTTCAGGCCCATTTGGACAAGCATCACTCAGTCTCCTTAGTCTCTTTTGGTGATGTTCTGTGGGTTTCCAGTTTATTTCTGCATAACCTGAAAAATTTGTATTTGCATCACAGGCTGACCAAAATGTTTTTTAATTATTTCCCAGGAGCTTTGCTTCTTTCTCTGAGGAGGCACCACTGCATTGCTACACTCAAGGGCTTGTCAACACTCCCATTAGAGACATCTAATCTTGCAGGATATTATAACCCACAGAACTTAATTGCACAGAGCTACAATTTGTTTTACAAGATTTCAAGAGAGAAGCCAGTTATTTAACATGCTTGCACTGAAATAACTTGGCTTTTTTTTATTTATTCTTTTTTGGGAGGGGGAAGAAAATCACAGCAGAGTCAAAACTTGCTGGGTTGTTTCTTGTCAAGGCAGCCCTTTGCTCCATTCCCATCTCTATATTGCCCTTCTCAGTTACCAGTTTTTACACTCAAGTGCTGTCACTCCTAAAGCCTTCCAGGGGAACTAAGTGCCCAGCTGATTTCTTGGTATTGTCTTTTCTTCTCTCACTTTTAATCCTCCTGTGACTTTGAGGAAAGTATCTTCATACTCGTGAGGCCTTTGGAAGTTATCAGAGCATTCAGACCATGTTCAGATAAAACTCTGAGTATTTATGTATGAAAGTTCTTTGAGCTAATTGAAAATTGTCAATCGTATCTTCTGCATTTGTTCAGAGGGATTTTAAAAATTCATATCAGAGCAGCTGCGGGTGAGAGAAAGTTCATTCCTTATCGGTCATCCAAAATTGCTGAGCCAGTTTTATGAAAGCAGTGAAATGAATGCAGAAACTAAACCCAGGGACTGCCTGATAATGCTCTAAGCCAAAAGCAAACGAGAAAAAAGAGCAGGCATTGCTGCAGACCTCAAATGGAAGGGAACAGGACTCACCTGAAGCCTGCAGGCAAGGCAGGCAGACACGGCGC